ACGTCTCCCTTCATCCACTTTTCGGTTGTCTGTCCCCCAGGGAGGAGGTCACACACAGTTCCATGTAATCGGTTCCCAACCCCCAATTATTTTCATTGCTACTTCATCACTGTCATTTTCTACTGTTACGAATCGGGCAATCCCTGTGAAAGGGTCATTCACCTCCCCCCTACCTCCCCCAAGGGTCTCGACCCCCAGGTTGAGAACTTCTGCCTTAGAAACTTTTTGCCAGCACATGGTGGGAGGTCAGATGCTTAGAGATATTCTCCCATAAGGCATTTAGCCATCCAGAGCAATCAGACTATTTGTCTGGTCCACTGTAGGTGGGGCTCACACCCTATTGATAGGACAGTGATTGTTTCCCTGGAGAGCTTAGAACAGGTCCGACCTGCTCAGTGACATCCAAAGTTAGACTAATGTCCTGAATCTAGGATCTGCCCATCTTGTCACATGCATACCTCCCAATCCCTCCCCTTCCTATTGTGTGTATACCCCTAGATCAGCGCCCCCTCCCATTACTGTATTACCTATAGTACAACCCTTTCCTGTTGTGCATGCCTTACTCCCCCCAAAGATATAGAAGCCTTGGTTAGAAATAAATCGATCTCTCCCCTGCCATTCCCACCTTCCACATTCCCACGTGGACCACCAAGTGGGGCTGAGGTGAGCATGCTACCATGAAATGTGTCTGACTCCTTCATTTTACTTTCTTATCTCTCGTGTTCTCTGTAACTTTACTGTAATCTTTACATATTATCACTGTACAATCCTGTGATGATGTTAGAGGCTGGCTACCCCGACAGTATGCACCTGTCCTTGTTTCTGTAGTTCCACCTGTAATTCGGCCGTCCTGATGTGCCGCTCCTGCGTGTGTGAGTTTCCTTTGTTCTATGCCCTACTTCACTAACACCCTGAGGGGACTCCTTAGAACTCATGTTGACTTTCTGCTAATGGCCTCCCTCATTTGGATGATGTGTCTGTGTCTTTGTCCCTCTTACAACTTAACGTTCTCCATAAATTAAATTTGAAATTGGGGTCTTTTGTACCCTGAAACATTCCCCACACTCGGAACACCCCAAGTTCCGGCTGTTGTTGCTCTAGTGCCAACGCGGAATGCTCTTCCCTCAAGCCAACATCTCTGATCTGTCTTTCAACCTACAGCTTATTAGGCCAATCTAGGCACCCTGCCCAGGAGCCCTGGTGGTGTAGTGGTGATGTGTGGGGCTGCTAAGCACAAGGTCAGCAGTTGGAATCCACTAGCCACTCTGCAGGAGGACGATGAAGCTGTTTGTTCCCTGGAAGAGCGACAGTCTTGGAAACCCACAGGGGCAGTTCTGCCTTGCCCTGTAGGGTTGCTATGAGCTGGCATCAGCTTGATGGCAGTGAGTTGGGCGTCTTTGGAAGCACCTTGCCACACCCCACCAACCACCCTCTTCTCTGTGCCCCCTCACCTTGAACATCCTTGCACATTAGTGAGGCTGTCCCCCAAGGTTGTAAACATTGATTTCTTCCTTTAGAATGAAAATTCCTTTGGGGCCCGTGCCACCCCCACCCCACCCCCAGATTCCAGCACAGTACCAGGAAGCTTCAAAAGTTCATGGAAAAATGTCATTATCTTTTAACTCGGCCCCCACCCCCCCAAGCTTTTGAAGCCCTCTCACCTGTAATAGGTGGGCGGTAGCTCCTAATTCACCCCTGAGCCCATCACAGTCGGGCTGCCAGCCCCACCAGTCCACTGCCACTTCCAGCTCCAAGGTCACCAGCAGTTTGGGGGGATTAAATTCAACTCTACCCCTTTAAGTGCTTTTCTGTCTTGCCTTGTCTGGAGCAGTTCACCCCGTAGATGCTTTTCTCCAAACCCTTCCATTCTTTTGGTTTCCTTACGATCTGGCTGTTCCTCTTCAGTTTCGCTGGAGGGTGTCTCCTCTTGGGTGCGTTTAACTTAAACTGAGTATTCTTCAGAACTCCATCTTTGTCTTCTCTCAGAGGTCAAAGCACTCTCATGGGGCCATCTCTGCCATTCCCATGACTTCACCTAGCGCCGTTTGCTGGTGAAGGCTTTTGCCAAATCACCAGCCCAGGTCTCCTTCCTGAAGCCCTCACTCCTACACGCAGCTGCAGCTGCTGACTGGGCATCCTCAGTTAGGTAGACGCAAGTTGGGCACAAACACAGGCGCTGGAGTTGCGCTGCCCGAGGTCAGTCTTGCTCAGGCACTCACTCCAGCTGTATGGCACTGGGCCTCGCATAACGTGATGGATCCATCTTACAGGGTTATTGTGAAGATTAA